ATTCCAGACACGTTCATACCTTGGCCCCCAGGATAATGGAAGCCACAAAAGAGACAGAAATTAAAATGTCAGCCCAGCTGGGCCCACACTGTGGGCCAGTAATTACAATGGAACCCTTTGCCTCTTCGATCACCTGAGTGGAGCACATCTGTGCCTCCTGCAAAAAAGGATAACAGAGTAACTCAGAGCAGTTTTTTTAAAGATATCCCTTAACTCAGTGTAAGTATAGTGCGCCAATTAACAGTGACAACTAAGGTTTTAATAAACCACAGGAAAATTTTTAAAAGCAAGGTGAGAAGCAGAGATCAGTCTTCTGATGAGCTTTGTAATTCAGTGACCACCGTCATCACTCAAGACCTAAATTACCCGAAATGTGTCACCAAGGCCTCAGCAGCAAGTAAAAGAAAGCGTTGTTATTCTCTGCCTGAGAAAGGAGTTACCGCCCAGCCCTTTCAGCTACAGCAGATTCTGAAGGACGAGTTGTATGGCACGTCACTACGGACAGAGAAAAGGATGTCCACAGCCAAGGGGACACCTGAGAGGTCATATACTCTGTGGGATCATGATAGAAGTTCAAACATCAGCCTGAGAAAGGTAAGTGAAACTGACCACCAAGTGTGAAGCGTGGGAGGCACAAGGGACTAAATGGTGTGGGAATCAGGACATTGGCTATCTCCTCACTTTCTCCTTTTTTTAAAAAAGACTTTTTTATAGACCCAGCCACCGATAGGAGTGGCTCATTTCGCATGAAGTGATCTGTTGTTTTCTATGCCCTGAAGGTGCTGATTTCCAGAGTTTGTGATGTTACATCCATGAGTTTTTCCAGCTTTGAAACTGAGCGCTCCAAGAACTTGGATCCCTTTTCTTCGGCTGCCATGCCAGGGAAACACTGAGATGACTTCGGCCAAAATGACCTTTCTGCCAGTTTATATCCTAATCCAGAGAGGCAGCCGGTTGTGTTACCAAAGGAAACCGATGTTTGGTCATGAAGGAGTGTGATAAAACTTTCCCTCTATCTCTTTCTTTTTCAATATAACAAGATGGAGATGGGTTGTTTCCTTAAAGTGCCTGTCACCTACTTTTTGATTGTTATTTTACTTGGCTGCTTTCTCCAAAGCAAGATTACAGGTTTCATGAGGACAGTTTTTCCCCCTCAACCTATCTTCAATACAATAACAACATTTGTTGTTTTTTTTTTTTTTGGTGAAACGAATAAAGAAAATCTTCTGGTCTATGTTATGTGAATAGTGACATCTTTTCAGGGTATTAAAATATGGGTTGAAATGCTCAACCAGTGGTTGTCAGCTGAGTTTATGTTATGGGTGAATGTAATAGTGAATGCACTTACAAGTTCTAGAACAGGGACAACGACAGTGCAGTTACAGGTTCTAGAATGCACAACAAGCTCAGGCTGTGGTGGCTAAGTGCTATTTTTGCCCTCCAGCTCTTACTTTGCCTTCAGGTAACTCTTGGCCAGTGTTAGCCTTGGAAATCGCCCCCTCCTTCATCCTCAGTCCCGTCCTGTTCTCCTCCGTAGGTGCGCTGGGTCCTGCATGGGCGGTGGTCCTCTGTGCCGCAGAGAGCCGCCTTCCGGGGGCCACCGGGCTTTGTTCAGTCACGGCCCCAGCTGGTCCTGTCAGTGGAGCGGGTCCTGTCTTTGCTTTGGTGAGAAGTGAGTGGAGTTCTGAGTTCCTCTACACTGAAGCCAACACAGGGGAAACTGGGGGGTGGTGAGATCGTGGGGGAGAGAGAGTCCTGATGACATTATTGGAGACAATAAACTACCCACAACTTAGCTCCCTGGTGCCTCAGATGGTAAAGAATCTGTGGGAGACCTGGGTTCAATCCCTGGGTTGGAAAGATCCCCTGGAAAAGGGCATGGCAACCCACTCCAGTGTTCCTGCCTGCAGAATCCCATGGACAGAGGAGCCTGGAAGGCTACAGTCCATGGGATCACAAAGTCGGACACGACTGGGCAACTAACATACACATCCACAACTTAACATTTTTTCCTGTCATTTGCCACAAAAATAACTCTAACTTGGTCCAGAGACTTTGTTGTATTATTTTGTTTTTATTTTTGTAAAAGAAAGATAAACATTTAGATGGCTCCCAAAGGAAGTACAATTTGGCACATCTTGGTCTTGTTAGGAAATTCATTATTTTCTTGGACAGAAACCTCTGCCTCAGATATAATGTTGGAGCCTCTGGAACTACAGGTGACTCAAGATGCATGTACACTCTTCTACCTGAAAGCTCCATATGAGGAGAGCTATTATGACTCATTTGTTCACTCATTCAGTAAATAGTTATTGAGCACCTACTGTGTGTGGCCACATCTTTTCTTTAGGATTTATGTTTAGATTTTTCTTTGAATTGTTTCTCACATCACAGGGATTCTGGCAATGCTGGAGCTCCTTCCTTAGAAGGAAGGCTCCCCTTTAAAATGTAGCATCTGGAGCAAAGCATGACATCATCCATTCATATATTTTACACATGACTTAAGTGTCAACTGTATGCCAGGTGTGAGGGTAACAGTGAATGAGGGACAGTTGTGTGCTCAAAGGACTCACCACCTAGAAAGAGGAGTGCATGCATGCGTTCTAAGTCACTTCAGTATTGTCTGACTCTTTGCAACCCTATGGACTGCAGCCTGCCAGGTTCCTCTGTCTGTGGATTCTCTTGACCCAGGGCTCAAACCCAAGTATCTTGTGTCTCCTTCATTGGTGGGCAGATTCTTTACCACTAACTTCACCTGGGAAGCCCCTAGAAAGAGGAGGCTGCCCTGTAAATAAGATAGGGAGCTACAGTGAAACCCAAACTGTAATAGGGAAGAGCAAATTATTTTAACCTTTGTATTCTATTGCTTTTGCTACAGGTTACTCACTAAAGAAGGGCTTCCCAGGTGGTGCTAGTGGTAAAGAACCCGCCTGCCAATACAGGAGATGTAAGACACTTGGGTTCAATCCCTGGGTCAGGAAGATCTCCTGGAGGAGGGCATGGCAATCTACTCCAGTATTCTTGACTGGAGAATCCCACAGATAGAGGAGGCTGGTGGGCTACAGTCCACAGGGTCACATAGCGTCAGACACAACTGAAGCAACTTAGCATGCGCACACACCATCAGTAAAGGGATGTTGCCTATAGCTTAAAGTATACATAATGACCCACATGTAGGACCCCTGCCTTCCATGTAATGAGCACTAAGCTAAAATACCTTTGTTTAGCCCACAGGAAGCTTCCTGACCAGACCCACCTGCAAATGGCTGCAGGAAGGAAGAAATGAACACATCTCAGATCCAGGATTTTATCCCATCCATTCTAGTATCAAGGAAGCTTGAATTTAACTCAGGAAAGATGGTTCTTTGGGACATTAGTCCACCATCTTCTTGGCCTGCCAACTTTCTGAATGAAGTCCTGATTTCTTGTCCCAACGACTTGTCTCTCGATTTGCTGGCCTGTTGTGCAGTGAGCAGTATGAGCTTGGATTTGGTGAGGGAACTGCCAGTCTTCCTTGGAGAGGGGAATCCTCGGAAATGCTTCCCACCCAGGGGAAGTAAGTCAGAGTGTGCATGTGGACATCTGATAGGCAGTTGGAGTTGGGGGATAGTCTTGTAGGGAGAGTCAGCAGCCTGAGTAAAAGTAGGGAGGAATGAAACAGCCTAGTAAGTTCCAGGAACTGCAAAGGCTTTGATTGGGCAGGAGTGTGGGGTGGGAGAGCACCCTACAAAAGAGTTAGGGCCAGAAAACTCAGCAGGGTAGAGCCTTGAAAGCCACAGTGAGGAGCTTGGATTTTTTTCCCTACAAGGCGACAAGGAATCTGAAGAGAGACAACATGATTGGGTGTAAATATCATCTATAGAAAGATGCTTTCAAGCTGTATGAGCCAGGTGTTGGACCTCCAGGAAACTGAGGCAGGAAGAGCAGCTGGGAGATCAGATCATCTGGATAAGAGATGTGAAAGGATTCCAATAAGGCAATAGCTGTGAGGATGGAAAGAAGGGGATGTACTGCAAGCAGAGAGGACACATGGGCAAGCAGTGTAGCAGGACTTGGCTACTCAAAGTGGGTCAGAGGACCCATAGCATCAGCATCCATTAGAAGAAAAGCAGATTCTCAGGTCCCACCCTAGACCTACTGGATAATGATCTGCAGCTTAGCAAGATCCCTCATGAGTCAAGGGCATTGACTCATAGACACACGCAAGCTTGAAACACTCTGATCTGGGTACTGGGGATTCAGTGGGTGAAGACACAAGGCAGCTGAGATCCTTGCCCTCATTAACACTGCATGGTGATGATAAGTACCAGAAAGGAGACATATCAGGAACCGAGACACACCCTGGGCTCAGGGCTCAGGGGAGGTTTTCCCATGTAGGTATCAATGACAAATCATGGTGAACCAGGAGGAGCAAGTGGAACGTGGGTTCGTGTGAGGGGTTGGGGAGAAGTCTCCCATCAGAAGCTGGCACATGTTCAGGCTGGAAGGGACTCCAGGGCCTTGGAGGAAAGAGCTGGGGCAGCACATGAGGAAGAAGGAGGGTCCAGGGAGGTGGGGCTGGAAGTCAGCGGGGATCAGGTCAGCTGCTCAATCATGCGGATGAGGCTGATTTTCACTGGAGAAGAAGAAGAAATCTGGAGGAGAAAGCCCAGAGCTGTATCAGGAAGGTGGTATGTAGGAGGAGAGTTGATAGCCTACCCTGATGGTCTGACCAAAGCCCCTTGGTTCAGGAAGCCTATTGCTTTGGGCTTCCTTAGTTTTGACCCCAGTTAAGAAAGCTTTATGGAGCACACGCTCTGTATTAAGCCTTATGTGAAGCAAGGGAGGGCTATTCAGTGTTTGAGATGTGATTCCTGCCCTCAAGGGTACCACAGTTTAGTAATGATACTTTGCTTTATTAAAGCAGCTTAAAGTCAAACCAAGAACTTCTGGTTAATCACTCCCCAGGTCTTCCCACACAGGCTGCTTCTGAGACAGCTTTCCCTCTTTCTGTTCTTATATATTTTTTATACAAAATTTTACATTTTTCTTGATTTCAGGCCATCCTCCCAAACTGCAATATCCTTTTAAATCTTGCTTCAGTCATCAGTTTTTCAGCTCTCTCCCAACTTTATGCCACATGCAGAACTGATGAACATATCCTTTAAAAAAAAAAATTAAGATGCTATGTTAAAAATTGGTGACAGATGTCACCTGCCCTTAAGCTTCTTAGCATGGTCATATTAGAGATTCCTTTCTGAGTGATTATTGATAAGTTGATCAATACATGTTGGGCACCATATAGTATTTTTTTCCCCCTGGGAAGAGTCTCTCTTACAGCTAGAGATAAATGCACTCTTTATGGGAACCCACAGCATTGGTGAATACCAGTGTTACAGTATTTGTAACATTGCATTTTAATTTTGTTACCTCTCTGACCATCAGTATGGGGCTATTTTACTCATCACCCTATTCCCAACACTGAGCACAGTGTGTTGCATATGGTGGGCACTCAATACACACTTTATTCAGTGACTTAGCCTGCATAAAATATTTTATGAATTTGCAGAAACAGCTAGGCTATTTGATACATTTCCAGGATTGAAATATAAAGCTTAGCCCTCCAGACCTTTCCCAGGTCTGTGGCCAGCTTAGCTCTATGTGGGTCAGTAACAAGGCCTCACATTGATTCCCCAGAGTTGGCACCACAGTACCATACCCTTTGCTTTCTGGAACATTTCCTGGTATTTCATAAAACTTTTTAGTGTCTTCAGCTTATCCTAGAGATTCTGCAAGTGATGCAGTGAAATCTGGAGAAAAGAGATGTGTAACCACTTCTACACATAACTGATCCCCCAGTTTCATGGACAGGGTACGTCAGCCCCATACTGAGAGTTAGATAGGTAACAAAATGAAAACACAATGTCACACGTATTGTGAAATGAGGATTCACAAGTGCTAGGCATTCTTGTAAAGAGTACACTCACCTCTAGCCACAAGACAGGAAGACTCTAGGAAAAAAAATACCATATGGTACCCAATATATTGGCTGGATTTTGCCAATAGAACTCTGCTTAATGGATATACCAAATATAATAACAGCCATGATTTAAGCTGGCAAAAGTCATTAATAACAACAATCAAAAAATCCTTCTTTTTTGATGTTAATCATATGGACATATTTCTAGTTTTTCCTATTATCCCTACATGTTTCACTATTTTGTCTGGCCATGCTGCACAGTTTGAGAGATCTTAGTTTCCCAACTATGGATCAAACCCAGGGCCTGGCAGTAAGAACACTGAATCCTAACCACTGGACCACCAGGGAATTTCCATTTGTGTTTTTTTAACCCTGGGATACTACAGATAGCTCATTTTTGAAATTTGTTTTCATTAATACCTTGATTGTTTTCTTCTTGTGTCTGAATTTCTGTCAGTTTGACAAAAATACTTGGCAACCTCTTGTGGGGAATGTAAACTGGTACAGCCTCTGTGGAAAACAGTATGGAGGTTTCTCAGAAAACTAAAAATAGAACTACCATATGATCCAGCAATTCATCTCCTGGGTATATACTCCCTGCTCCCCCCAAAATAAAACCCCAAAACACTATTTTACAAAGATACATGCACACCAGTGTTCATAACATCACTGTTTACAATAGCCAAGATATGGAAGTAACCTAATGTCATTCATCAACAGATGAATGGATAAAGAATGGAGATATATACATATATATATATATACACACATGTACACACACAATGGAATATTATTCAGACATAAAAAAGAATGAAATTTTGCCATTTGCAGCGACATGGATGGACTTAGAGGGCATTATGCTAAGTGAGCTAAGTCAGACAGAAAAAGACAAAATACTGTATGATATCACTTATACATGGAATCTGAAAAATAAAACACACTCAACAAAGAAGCAGACTCACAGATACAGAGAACAAACTAGCGGTTACCAGTGGGGAGAGGAGGATACAAACTATTAGGTCTAAGATAAGCTACAAAGATATATGGAGAATATAGCCAATATTTTGTAATAACTGTAAACAGGGTATAATCTTTAAAAATGGTATAAAAAATACTTGGTAATTTTTGTTGGGAATTTTCTACATTCCACACCCCAGTTCTGCAATATGAATTTCACAGGCATTACTTTATTTAATCTTTATTTACAAGATGTATGCATATGACTATCCTTGATTAATTTTAAAAAAATAACACAAATGGGGGAGATTAAATTGCCTATCTCTAGTCTTTCCCATTCTATTGTTTTCCTCTATTTGTTTGCACTGATAGTTGAGGAAGGCTTTCTTATCTCTCCTAGCTATTCTTTGGAACTCTACATGCAGATGGGTATATCTTTCCTTTTCTCCTTTGCTTTTCACTTCCCTTCTTTTCACAGCTATTTTAAGGCCTCCTCAGACAGCCAGTTTGCTTTTTTGCATTTCTTTTCCTTGGGGACAGTCTTGATGCCTGTCTCTTGTACAATGTCATGAACCTCATCCATAGTTCATCAGGCACTCTGTCTATCAGATCTAGTCCCTTAAATCTATTTCTCACTTCCACTGTATAGTCATAAGGGATTTGATTTAGGTCATACCTGAATGGTCTAGTGGTTTTCCCTACTTTCTTCA